CTTTGTCTCCTTGCTCGGTCCCTGTCACACAGCTGCACAAACACACACACACACACACACACACACACACACACACACACGCTTCCTCTCGCATCTGCTCTCAGGCAGCATTTCCAATGTTTTGTGTAAGTCAATTGGACGGCGAACAAAAAAAGCCATTTGCTCGGTATTATTTAAAACAGACTTCATAGGGCCACCCTTTTGTGGAAGCTTTATTTGCACTAAATGAATAATCTTAATTGCATCACTCTCGAATTAAAAATCAATGTTAATCAAGTTGGGAGTGGTAAATATCAGTTTTCATTGTGCCTGGGTAGAAGGCATTTTTCTTGGGTTGCAAATAAAAATAGAAGTCAAATAACTTTAAAGGGGCATTACGTTCTGCTGCAAATACAATTGAAACGGATTGTTTAGGAGCAGATCAGAAATGGTACAAAATTTTGCACTTAATTTCCTCAGTTATCATTTACAATAAGAACCTCCGAGCTTGACAGCCAAGTCTAAACAGTAGTAAATTAGTACAAATTTATACTGATTTTACTCTAATAATCGTAATAAAAGCTTATAGATTTGGCACTAATTACATAAATGCCTAATGATCTTGAAAATTACTCTGGTTAGAAATATATTACTAATCTAAACTTTGTTGTTGGCTGGCTCTGAAAAATCAGAACATTAGAAATGGTTCGCTTCACTTGTGCAAAGCACTTTAAATTGTTCAAGTAGTTTAACATATTCAAGAGGAAAATAAAGAACACTAAACTTTATTTACAGCCTTCAAGAGAGTTTGGGGGCCAAGCTGAACTGAAAACTTTGACCGGGAGAGCGGGTTAGGGGTCGATGCCGTGCGTGGACCCCACTGAGGACCGCTTTGCCGCAGGGAACGAGCGGAAAGGGTGCAGAGAGCCGGATCCGACCCCGAGAGGCATCTGGAGGCCCACTCCGCTCTGCGCTCGGAGTTCCGGGCCCTCCGTTGGGCTTTGTAGGCCCGGCCCCAGACGCGGCGCCCGAGTTGCCGAATTGCGGGCTCAGACCACCTGGGCGGCAGGGAAGTCCGGGAACCGTCCCGGGGCGGCGGCGCGGTTTCCTGGTGTCCAGGATGGCTTGCCTAGGGCAGCCGCAAGCAGGGCCGCTAAGCGTGCGCGGGCGGGGGCGTCTCCCGGGTCACGCGGGTGTCATGCCCTCCGCTAGCGGCTGCCCTGCCCTTGCCCCTGGCAGATTCCAGCTCCGGGAGAGCGGCGCCTTTGAAGGGCGCAGGGCGGGGCAGGGGGGGAAAGGAAACGTGTACCCGGAGAAAACCGCCAGGAAGCGTTAACTAGGGCCAGGCTCGGAAGCCCGGAGAGGCCGCGGCGGCCGCCACCGCTTGGGCTGCTGCCCTGGGGCTGGAGCCGCCTGAGCTGCCGCCGCCTCCTCCGGGCGCGCGGGCGGGCGGGCGCGGGCGGGCGGAGTGGGGGACTCTCCGGGCGCTGACATTTGCAGGCTGCCCTCCTGATTGGTCCCCTCGCCGAGCTGCTCACGGGTTCATTCAACTGTTAAGCACCTCCCCGTCTCTCTAAAGGACATTATAATGCAAGAAGCCCCCTTTTTAACCACAAACCGAATTTTCTTTCATTTAGGTGATCTATATATATCTATATCGTATAGCTTATAGCTTATATCTATTTTAAATAACTTAAAGCCGCTAAAATTTGGGGGGGAACAGCTTTCGCCCTGGAGCGGTGCGCGATGCTGTCTCACGCCGACCTCCTGGACGCTAGGCTAGGTGAGTGCGCGCCTCTCGCCCTGGCAGCCAGGAGAAGCCGGGGCAGGAAATTGTCAATTTGTTCCTTATTTTACCTTAATGCGCCCTAAATGGACTAATTTCTTTAAAAGTAATTGTGCTGCATTAAAGTTTAATTTGATTTAACATCGTCTTTATTAAAAAAAATCTATGGAATATGTAGATCCAAAAAAGGAGTTGGGGAATGTTGTTACTTTTTGTTTTTCTTATTTTTAATTTTCCCCACCCCCTTTATATTTTTGAAAGGCGATCCACCCCGTGATAATTTGTTAGGAGGTGTTTCTCTTCTCTCCCCTCCCATTTATTTTTATTTGGGAATTCTTTCTCTTTCTCTGTGCATTTCCCCCTTCCTCCTTTCTCTTTATCCCTCACCTTATTCCTCCCCGTGTAAATATGGGCCAGTCGGTAAAAATCTGGCAAGAAGGCGCAGCCTCTGCCATGCAGCTGGATTTGCTAAGTGTGCTGTGGGGAAAGGCGAAAAGCCCCATTCACCCTCACGGGCATCCCGCCTTCTGCAAGGGGCTCAGAGGAACGCGCCCTTTATTTTTTCCGGGAAGAAAAAGTTGAATTCTCTCAAGTTCGATCCACTACCCTGTCTCTAAGAGTTTGGTTAATGTTGTCTGGGTGCCTGGGCTCTGGGTTTCCGGTTTAGAAATCGTGGGTGATGGATGTGACTCCATTTCCCCCAAACATTCTCTCTGATTCGAGGGGGAGGCGGAGCTGATTTGGGTTGATTTCGCGGGGTGGAAGGCTTGGAGACACATTCATCTTCAGGAAGGTGAGAGGGCGATCGGCTAAGGACCAGCGAGCAAGAGTTCGCCGGTTGCCAAAGGGCAGGTGGGGCTGCAGCCAAAGAATCCTTTCATTTCTTGTCCTCCTTCCAGCCCCACGACTTGCTCTTGGTTTACTGGAGCGCCGAGGTACGGTTTATGCAAGGAACTCAGAGCATGTTTTATGGCCGGGCCTGGGAATGTTTTATAGTGGGAGAGACGACAGCGTGTGCTGTTTGCTACGCGAGCCTGCTGCGGAGGAGAGAAGGGCAAGGGCTGGGAGTTGCTACCCCAGCCTAGCTGTCCAGATCCCGGGGAACTCCGATGAGCACGCCCGGAGTTTCGTCCGAGGGGCGCGCGCGGGCGCGCAGGGAGCCGAGAATGAGTCTGCCGGAGGACCACGCCGGGAGGACAGTCCCTCCTGGCCTCGTCAGGAAAGTAGTGACCGCGACCCTCTTGCCTTCTCAGGTATGAAAGATGCCGCCGAGCTTCTGGGCCACCGGGAGGCGGTGAAGTGTAGGCTGGGCGTGGGGGGCTCCGACCCCGGGGGTCACCCCGGAGACCTGGCGCCCAACTCCGACCCGGTCGAGGGAACCACGCTGCTGCCAGGGGAGGACATCACCACCGTGGGCTCTACCCAGGCCTCGCTGGCGGTGAGCGCCAAGGACCCCGACAAGCAGCCGGGGCCGCAGGGCGGCCCGAACCCTAGCCAAGCGGGCCAGCAGCAAGGCCAACAGAAGCAGAAGCGCCACCGGACGCGCTTCACCCCAGCCCAGCTCAACGAGCTGGAGAGGAGCTTCGCGAAGACTCACTACCCCGACATCTTTATGCGCGAGGAGCTGGCGCTGCGCATCGGCCTCACCGAGTCCCGAGTGCAGGTACGCTGGGCTAGGGCGCCGGGCCAGGAGGCGCGGGAGGGTCAAGCCAAGGGGAAAGGGGTTTCCCTTCTGCCTGGATCCTGGGCTGCGTCTCAGCCGATTCTGTGTTTCTGGTTAGCCCCTGTTCTGCCCACTGTGCCCGATCGCCGTCTCCAGTGGGCGTGCAGGACCCCCATTCGCACCCCACTCTCACCAGCGTATCCACAGCCTTCTAGAGACCTGAAACCTGAGGCCCGCATTGTTCAGTTAGTGGCCAGGCTGACTTTTTCCACTGGAGGAGGGAATCTCCGCCGGCTCCCAGGCGCCTAAACAGAGCGCGCACCTCAACGCTCGCCCGTGTAATTGACAAGTATTTCACGATCCCTAATGAGTTTGTGCTAAGCGCCTGGATAAATTCAGGACGCCACACTCACACACCCAATATAAAAAGGGAGGAAGTAGGACGACAGAACAGGTGCCTTATTTGGGGGGTCAGGAACCACACCCTGCGGCTTCTTCTGAATAGGACTCTCCAGCCTGCTCAGACAAAAACATCCTCTAGCTTGACTATTTGCCAGGGGGCTGGGCGGTGGTCCACAAGGGCAACTGGAGTGATCGGCCAAAGCCTTAGATTTGTAGATTCCCCTAAGAAGGAAAAAAAAAGACGACTTTTTGCTGTGCACACGGCCAGAAGAAAGGAGCGGCCGGGAAAGGTTGACAGGTAGTAGACAAAATCATTATTAACCCCCCTATATCTGTCCAATCACCATCCAAGTTGAAAATAATAAATCATCAAGAAAAGCACATCTATACCTCTCCTGAAAACTGAGGACTAAAAGCATATGCCTAATTAAATCCAAGGTATTTTATCCCCCCCCCCTTTTTTACGAATGAAAAGAATATGTCAAATATTTCATGGACAGGTGCTGGTGGTGAAATTGGAAGAGACTCAATTAGTCTCGAACTATCCGTGGTGCTGAAAAGCTTCCTTTGCTTCTCGGACGTAGGTGTTTTCTATCAGCCCAATTGGTTGAGCTAGAACCCGCTGTTATAAGAAATTAATCACAGTCTTAAGTATTCTTAAGTTTAGCATTTCAAAGATAGTGCAAACGGGGGTGGGAACGGCACATGTTTCTACACAAAGAATCAGAATATCAATGTCATTGAGGATGGAAAGTCCTCAAATTAATAAGGTAATATTAAGAATATAACATAATGATTGATATATTTACTCAGTAGAAATCTGAGTGGTTTTCTTAGGGAATTATTGAAAACCTGAACCACTAACTGGCCATTAACATTACACACAAAAGAGTGCAAATTGAATTGTGCAAATACATTGTTAATGCTCTTTAATTTTATTTACCTTATACCTTTTTCTAAATCTGAAATTGAGCTCAAGCTCTTACAGGTAAATAAAGACCTTTCAAATACCGCCACTACTGCAAATTATAATACTGAGGTGTTAAAATGAAACTGGAAATTTACAAATGCATTTGTAGAGAATCTTATTACATATTAATTTTTGTTTTATAATTAAAAAATGGTTGCTTAACCTAGCCATACTAGTTATTAGTTTGCATTAAAATAGAACTCATAATCACAATTGTACAACTGATTATATATATTCAAAAAGAAACCAGTCTATTAAACTTTATTAGCTCTTCCAAAGGTTAATGACAATAATTCTTTTAATAACAAAGTTTTAAGTGAAATAAAATGTAAGCTATGTAATAGGAACAGTTGCTTTCAAAAAGTACACAAAAGAATTTGCAAGATGAAAGAGACAAAGTACTTTAATGGTTCTAGCATAATGTTCAACCAGAGATAATGGCTTTAGGCTGATGATAGAAACAATTTAAAAGAATGGCAATTTCAATATTTTTAAAAATAATGTTCCATAGTTTAAAAAGTAATCAGATCAACATAACCTTCTTAATTAACATTTCAAGATGATTAACATTATGTAGTGCAAAAATAATTTATGGAAAATGTATTTACTTCACAATTCACTGTACTTTTGCTCCTTGACCAAATCCAAATTAAATAGTAATTGGTTTATGTTCCTATATGATGAGTACTTTATAGGTTTCTTCATAGTTAACAGATTGCCACACATTTTTTCAGTATGTGGACCCTCACATGGATTAAAAATGATTTAAACATTTAATTTATTGCAATTAAAAATGCTTTTTGACTTCAGGCTAAATTATACAAGATACTTATTTACTTTCTGTTTCTTTTTGGCATACATTACACTTTTAGGGATTTGTTAGAGCAACTCTACTCACATGGAGGCCAATTTCATGTCTGATACTGCTCCCCTTTTCTGGCGACTGTAATAAAACCATTCTTTTTATAGCATGCCATTATTAGAAACCAATTTCAGAATTATTTATAACCTGGAATGGCTTATTAAGCAGCAATGCGAGAATCATGCAAATTATGCGATCAAATGCAATATAATAAGCATAATCATTAGTCTCTAGCATGGATTAATTAACTTTCAATATTTTATTTACATAAAAACCAAATCAGTGAAATAACTTCTGCACAGTCAGGCTTGCCTTTCAATATTTTATTCGAACAAAAATAATGTGCTGTAATTCCATTGACCGTGTCCCCCAGAATGGCCCTGTCACCTGCCACATCTTAATAGGGGGACAAGCTGAGAGTATTTTCTAGTTTTCTAATGGAATGAGAAATTGCATTTTCTTCCTCTCCCAGCACTATTATAGTGTAATGAATTCAGCCCAGAGTTCACGGCTGGCTGATCGAAATGAACCTGAGATCTAGGCTTTAATACAGCTCCCCAGATTTCCTCCCAAATCTTCACATTAATCATTTGCTGGATTCCAATGAGATCTTCATAAAGCGTTTGCTTCGAGGTGTGTGTGTGTGTGTGTGTGTGTGTGTGTGTTAATCTTCTCTCCCTCTCCTCCTCTTTCTCCATTTCTGAGCCATTTATAGCTAGAGAATTAAACGGGCTATATATTTTAAAATACATTTACAGTATGTCTATATTACTGTAACAGCAGATATCATGAAAGCGGATTTTTAGATTCCAACCTCCATTAGATCCTCACTGTTGTATTAAGCATTCTTAGAGAAGAGCTGCATTTCAAACCGGGTACAAAGTTGGCCTGTGACTTTGGTTAAGGTATTTTCTGGAGTTGTCCTCTGTGCATTCTCTAAATCTCCCTTAGGTTTTGCCTGCATTCTAATGCGTCATGCTCTAGTTTTCAAGTGGAAACATTTCACATTTTAAAAACATATGCATCATAGGTTGGAATGAAGTGCACAGATCCCATGCAAATCTCCCCCCTTCAATCCCACTAAGCCATGAAACATAAAAAATGTTGTACCAGCCATTTGACTACTAACCCTCAAACATAATTGAGCACGATTTTTGATGGTTCCTTTAATATTTAGTTATTTTCTGCTGCTCTTTTGGCCTGTTCATAAACTAGAAACCTTTCTGGCAGTCCGATTTTCTAATGAAATGCTGTAGGGCTAACCCTCTGTGTTTCTGTTTGTTTGTTTGCTCTTCTTACCCCTGCCCCAAACATGCAAACATTTTGGTATTAGGAACCCATTTTGATATTACAAATATCTCTCAAAAATTTATCTGGGTGTGGCATGTTTGGACTCCTGGTCACATCCTGGTCTAGGGCTCTGTCCCATCTTCCTCCCTCTGCTGCCCCCCCCCCCATTTCAGCATTGGATGGGCCCCTCAAAGCCACCTGCTAACAGCTCAATCTGCAGTGGGCTGCATTGATCTCATCCACCATCGAGGCCTCTGCTGCCTCATTAATCCACCAAGCCAGCCACTCAGGGTCTGCGCAGACACTTGGGTAGGCAGTCAACGTGGGAAATGGGGTAGAAACCAGAGAAAGACAAAGTGGTGGGTGACCTCACAGGTATGGCAGAGAGGCAAGTAAGACCCCAAGATTGCAATGCAATTCATACTAGTTAGGGAAGAGTGGGTCTTCCCTCAAAGGAGTATAGAACACCACTGTGTACGGTGGGGGCTTGAAGAGGGGGTGGTGCTTGATGTAGATGAGTGTAGGTTGATCCATTCTCAAGATACTCAGGCTCACAGAGTACACACCAAATAGAGTGAAGTAATGGGTGAATAAGCTTTTAACACTAATGGGAGTGTCCAATTGTGTCTGCCAAATTCGAAGAAGAAACTCAATTTATACCTGAGCATTTACATTTTGTACTGAAAACCTCCAGCTGACTAGGTGTTAAAGTAGGCACAATGGCAATTATTCTGGAGAAAGAGAGAGATCTCATTCAAATGTGTGCCAAAGAAGGCAGCTTACTTGGTTTACTTCAGGCAGAACTCATCTCCTGCCGTAGTGAATTTGACATCTGTAGGCCAAAGAGCCTGGGAAGGTCTGAAATCATCAGGCTACTGTTGAGAAAGTGTAAGAGGCTCGTTTTTCGTTTGGGAGATATTTGATCAAATATGTCTTTCTGGAAAAGATGCCTCCCCCGACCCTGAAAAGCAAAATTAAAAAGCTAGTGTGAGCTATAAACTTGACCTCCTTTAATTTGTAATGACCAGAGAATTTGATTTTAGGCTATGTAGATGAACTGGGGGCGACTTGAGGGAATTGAAGGCCTGGGTGCTTGAGATAGTAAGTTTTTGAACCGAATAGGCTTGAAGGCCCTGGGGCTCAGACTCCAGCAGCAGTTTCCACACATCCCACAGTACAGACAAAGGTGTCCTTGGCGTCGTTTGAGAAGGAAACACGAAGACTGAGTTGTAGAATCAAGTGCAATCTGAGGAATTAGAAGGCAGCAGTGACCCAAACAATGTTGGCTTAGTGGCTCTCTTTCCCACCATACCTTTCTGCGCTGTCAAACGTGGCCTTAGGGACTTTCCTTTGTCTTCTGATTTTGTTACTGGCGATGTCATCCCCAGCCCTGCATCAATTTCCAAATTTCCAGCGTTTCTGAAAAGTCAATACCCCATCAGTGTTAAAAGGCATGCTATTAAGCCACATGGGTACACATGTTTATCTTCATTTGTACACCTGTGGGTTGAACCTTGACACACGCCTGCCTGCAGACCCGAGTGCCTGTGCAGTGCACAGAACCTGTCAACGTGCAGGGGCGTGGTGAACACCCGCACCAGTCTGTTTGCCCGTGCGCTGCGCTCCAGCGCGAGGCAGGCCTGTAACGCAGGCGCCTCTGCTTGTCGGTGCGCGGGGAGCCAGCTGCCAGGGACCGGTGAACAACCAGGGTGTAGCCCACGGTGTGAGGACCTGTCGCGGTTCCGGGAGAGCCGAGTGAGTGTATCTGCCCGGGACTCCTCGGGTTCCAGCCCCAGCTGTGCGGGTGGTCCGGCGCGCTAACGGTGCCTTGTCTGTCTCTTGGCCTCGCCCCCTCCAGGTGTGGTTCCAGAACCGGCGAGCCAAGTGGAAGAAGCGCAAGAAGACGACCAACGTGTTCCGCGCGCCGGGCACGCTGCTGCCCACGCCAGGCCTTCCGCAGTTCCCGTCCGCCGCGGCCGCCGCTGCGGCCGCCATGGGCGACAGCCTGTGCTCTTTCCACGCCAACGACACACGCTGGGCGGCGGCCGCCACGCCGGGCGTGCCCCAGCTGCCGCTGCCACCCGCGCTGGGCCGGCAGCAGGCCATGGCGCAGTCGCTGTCCCAGTGCAGCCTGGCGGCCGGGCCGCCGCCCAACTCCATGGGCCTGTCCAACAGCCTGGCGGGCTCCAACGGCGCCGGGCTGCAGTCGCACCTCTACCAGCCCGCCTTCCCCGGCATGGTGCCCGCCTCCCTCCCCGGTCCCAGCAATGTCTCCGGCTCGCCCCAGCTTTGCAGCTCCCCGGACAGCAGCGACGTGTGGCGGGGCACGAGCATCGCCTCCCTCCGCCGCAAGGCGCTCGAGCACACAGTCTCCATGAGCTTCACTTAATACCGCGC